AGAGAGAGAGAGAGAGAGAGAGAGCAGGGAGAGAGGGAAGGAGGGAGGTAAAAATAACCTTTAAGATAAAATGAAATGTTGAAAAGGACAACTTGCTATTTAAAAAACAAGAATTAAAAAACAAAATAATTATGACCTACTTTCTTAGTTTGTGTTCTACTGCTGGTGTGAAGAGTATTGTTAAAAGCAACTTGGAGGGGAAAGAATTTATTTCATCTTACAGCTTATAATCCACCATGAAGGGAAGTCATGATAGGAAGTCAAGCAGGAACTTGGAATCAGGAACTGAAGAGGCCATGCAGGAATACTATATATTGGTTTGTTCCCCATGGCTTGCTCAGGCTGCTTTCTTGATATAGCCCAAGACCACCTGGCCAATGATGGCACCACTCACAGTGGGCTGGGCCCTCTGACATCAATCATTAATCAAGGAAATGCCCCCACAAACTTGCTTACAGGCCTTATAAAGGTTATTTTCTCATTTGAAGTTCCCACTTCCAAAATGACTCAAGCTTATGTCAAGTTGACACAAAACTAACCAGTCCCCTTGTCAACTTCACACCCAAATACATCACTATTAAACCATAACCTTCCCTTTCTTGTTTCTCCCCAAGACTGCATGTTAATATTAATATCACAATATAAAACACTCCAACTTTGAGAAGTCCCTCAGTCTTGAAAAGTTCAGTTAGTTATTTTCTGATTTTCTGTCTGTTTTCTCTCTCTAAAAAACCATTTGAAATATTTTATGAAGCTTCTAAAAATGTCTACTGAAATTTTGTTAGGAATTACTTGGAAGTTGGAGAGCACAAAGGGAGACTCTTGACAGCAACCTGGCTAAGAAGCGTTTCTTGGTTATTTCTTTATGTTGCACGCAGGAGAGTCTTACAGTTCTCATTCTAAGATTCTGTATGTTTCTTATGAATTCGGTTACTTACATTTTCATTGTATTTTAAACTAGCAATCACAGTAATGCTGCAATTGTGAGTTTTCTATATTCTCTAAAAGATCATTATGGTTTTCTATAAATTTTTATCCTCTCACCAGTCACCTTTTGAACCCATCAAGTTTTCCTCTTTATCATCTTGCAGTTTCCAGATTCTGAATCACGTAAGTAATGACTCTTCTCTCTGTTCTTTCTATGGTGGTTAAACTTCATTGTTCACATGACTGGCTGTAAAAAGGAGACACACATCTGGGCACATCTGTGAAGGGATTTCCATAGACATACTATATATGTGAGCAAGGTGCCTAGACGGAATTAAGGGGAAATGAGCAATCTCATTCATCAGCCTCAGCACCCGTTCCCAGCCGTGAAGTACTGGACATCCATAGCACTTTAACACTAGGAAGCCCTTTCTTCCACTAGTTGTCCTGGTTGAGCATTTTGTCATATCGAGGAGAAAATAACTAACCCACTTTCCAAATCTAATCATGTGGACTCCAGAAACCTTAGCATGCATCTCTTACCATCAGCAGTGTTTTTCAGACATGGGTCTCTGGGCGATCAACTACTCTGTTGTTTAGCTCACAACATTTTTCTATCATTGCTTTTCTCATCTTCCTGGGGGTATTTTTTTTTTGGTTGGGCAATACCTGTCACATGTGTTTGCAATAGCATGCTAATCACTCAACTGATGGAAATTTAGTTGTTTCCAATAGTTTACTATTAATATGGTTAGGATGAAAGTCACTTGCACACATATCCTTGTAGATATGCCTGACTCGTCAGGAGAACTTCCTGTGGAGGGAATAAGATTAGATCAAATGAGATCTATATTTTAGCTGTGTCGAGGTTACATATGCACATGACCCCTCCTTCCTGTCCATAGGGTGCTCCAGTCCATTCAAATCTGTACCTGTATGAAAGTAGCCTCTTAACTCTTTGTGTCGACCCATGTGATTACTTACTGTACTGTGGCATGGACTTCTCAGTCTCTGGATAATCTGGCCTCTATTTTTAGAAAACACTCATTGATGAAGTGCGTTTTCCCTTCCAGCCTGTGCTGCAACACAGGGAATCTCCGATCAATATTTGTTTGAAAAATACTTTCTGGGTAGCAACTGCCAATTTGGGTTGACCAGTTTGTCATCCCTGTTAACACAGGAGACAGTCCACTAAAATAAACCTTTTTTATTCTACAAGTAGAAAAGGTGTGTTTGAGATTCACTTTGGAGACTTCAGTCCACGAGTGGTTGACGTCATGGCTGTGGGGCCCGTGGCCTGATGCTCATCACAACAGAAACATGTGGTAAATGAAGACCCATCACCCTTACTGCAGACACTAAAGGAAGAGGTTAGAGTCCCATAGTTCTCTTGATGGCACACCCTGTGACTCAGCACCTCTAACAGTCCACCGATTAAATGTCCTGCCACCTCTATATATCACCAAGCAGAGGATCAAGCAAACAGTTGGCACTTTGGCCTTTGGGGACACTACAGGTCAAAAATGCAACTGCTTTGGGAACTGACTCTAAAGTGAAGAGAGAAGGAACTGGTGGATACAGTGGCCTGGGCCTGGCCTTAGCCACCCCTGCCTCAGATGTCCCTTGGTCAGGTGAGAAGGGTGTGCCTTTCCAGAACTGTAGCTCCTGTGTCCTGGGTTAGAGGCAAGGACTGCATTTGGACTTCTTCCTTCCTAATTTAGCTCAGTGACTCGAAGGACGATGGATTCAGAATTCCCAGTGATGGTGGTGTGTGCCACTTTAGTTTCTGACATTACAGTCTTTCTAGGTAATTTTTTATGTAGAGTTGAGAACAGTAAACCAGGAACTGGGACTTCTGGTTGTTTTATAAAAAAAAAAAAAAAAAAAAAAAAAAAAAAAAAAAAAACAAACAACAGCAACAAAAACCCTCCCTGAAATCC